AAAATCACAGAAATTATTAGATCCTAGGGAAAACAAAAAAGTTGCCCAAGAAAGGAAAAGTAATCATACATTGTTTTACTGATACTTCATAGTATTTACAAGAGACCCACCTAAAGTTTAATGACAAAGGGCTGAAAGTCAAAGAACAGAAAAAGATGTTTTTTCTATTATATGATTAGCATTAGTAAATAATTAGTATTAGTAAATACTAACCAAAGAAAGCTAGGGTAGCAATATGGGACAACAGATTTTGAGCTAAAAAGCACTGCTAGAAATAGAGGGCCATTTCATAATAATAAAGGATTCAACTCATCAGAAAGGTATAACAATTCTAAATTTTGGTGCACCTAATAATACAGCCTCAAAATAAGTAGAGCTAATTTTGCACAATTACAAGGAGAAATGGACAAATCTATCATAGTGGAAAGCTTGATATCTCTTAATTGATAAATCAAACAGACTAAAAATCAGGATATAGAAGATTTGAAGAACACAATCAACAATCATTATTTAATAGATATCTATACAAACTGGTCTCAATAATTGGAGAATCAGCCAGGCATAGTGGCTCATGTCTGTAGTCCCAGGACTTTGGGAGGCCAAGGTGGGAGGATTACCTGAGGTCACGACTTTGAGGCTGCAGTGAGCCGTGACTGTACTGCTGCACTCCAGCCTGGCTGACAGAGTGAGAACTCAATAAAATAAAATAAAATAAAATAAGATAAAATAATTGAAGCATAACCATATTTTTCAAGCACACATAGAAAATTGTTGGACCATGTAGGAAAAGGAAAATTGATGACTATGTAAAGGCCATAAATTTGCCTCAAAAATGTCAAAGGAAGATATTCATACTACATTTTCTGATCACAATGATAACTCTACAGGCAGAGTAGACTTTATGGCAAGAAGCAATAGTAAAGGTAAAGGGTGACATTTCATAATGATAAAAGGATCAATGCACAGAAAGTTATAACAGTTCTAAATCTGTATGCACTAAATAATGTAGCTACAAAATCCATAAAAGAAAATGGACAGAACCGTAGGAGAAACACATAAATCCACAGCCCTGGTGGGAGATCTTGACTTCTTTCAGAAACTGATAATGCAAACAGACCAAAAAATCCATAGAGGTGCATTTGAATGCTTTTAACAGACAGCGACAAAATAGAATTTGTAAAAGCCCAAATGTTTGGAAATTTGGCAATACAATTCTAAATAACTAATGGATCAAAGAGGAAATTAGAGGATTTTTTTTTTTTTTTTTTTTTT